CAAGCATTGTGCCTGCTGTGTGCCCAGTGACACTGTCTCTGGGCTGCAGAGGGCAGCAAGCATTTATGAAGCGCTTCCTGTGTGCCACGCACTGACTTCTCAGTGCTGGGGGTACAAAGATGAGCATGAACACAGTCTGTGCCTGCAAAGAGGGAGATGATACGTAAACGTCTGGGTCTGCACAAGGCAGATTCAGAGATGGAGTCATCTCAGACGGAAGGCAGGAGCTGATAGGAGCTGAGTCTGAAAAGAAGCCACAGAAACCTGGAGGTGGAGTAAGAGAATTCAGACATTTCTAAGGCCTGTAGAAGAGGGATCAGCCGCCTGCTGCTTGACCCCAAAGGGCAGAAACAATGCGTGGAAGTTTTAAATTCCAGTCAACATACATTAGGTGCTGACTGTATGCAAGGAGCCAGGCTAGGGGCCAGAGATACCAAAATGTGCCCTCAGAGAACTTGCATTCTGCTGGGCCATGCAACACAGAGACAGACAGTAAGCGTAAGAATCTGGGGGAAAAGAGGCCGATTTCAGCTCCCTGTGAGGTAGGACTTGAACAATTAGATCTGTCTCAGTGTTTAATGGTCTGCCTATGAAGGTAGTGAGTTCTCCATCACTGGAGGTCTTCAAGTAGAGTGAAGACTGAGGACAGTGGAGGAAGATTCCTACCCAGGAATGGGCCGGCTGGCCCTCCCACCACTAGACCCTCAAGATGCAGAATAATATGATGGAAAATGCTGGATTTTGACTGGAGAGACTGGAATTCAAATGCTGACTCTGACAGTCGTTATGTGACCGGGGCAAGGCGCTTCACTTTTCTGAGGTTCCCTGACCTCGCCTGTGAAGTGGGGGCGATAGTACCCACAGGCTTGTCACAAGGGCCAGTGGGGATGACACCTGTCCATGAAGGGGCTGAGTCAGAGGAGCCTGGGCCGGCTGCGGCCTCAGACTCTTGCCCTCTCGCTCCCCTGCTCGACATCTTGGAGGAGGCGGTCAGGAGGAATGGGCACCGCCTGTCCCGGCCACCCCCGAGGAAGAGGAAGTGAAAGCGTCTCCCTGAAACCCCAACAGAGTTCAGTGGGAAGTGAGGCCGGGTGAGGCGCGTGGTCCAGGCACCCGGGAGGAAACCACAGATGGCTATGTGTGCATCTGAGGGAGGTTCTGCTTTCGACGGTGCGCCAGCCACGTTTACCGTGTGTATAAGTGGTTGTACACAGTTGTTTCATGTTGTCTTAGACTGGAAGCTCCTTGAGGGCAGGGACGGCTTTCACCTTTCTCTGTATCCCCAGCACTTAGCTCAGTGCCGGCACATAGTAGGCACTTAATAAATCTGATTAATTGACTGACAGGACTGCACGGATCCGTGGAGGGTGAGGGTGGGTGGGCAGAAGGGAGTCTCACAGGAAACTTACTGGTTAAATGAACTTGTGAATGAAGCTCAGCTTTGTGAGCCTGAGTGCTTGGTCATAAGTGGAGCAGATGGGCATCCTTTGGTGAGTGCCCACTACCGAATGAGTGGGGGCAGTGAAACAGAGAAGTGGGAGGTCCCCAAAGTCTACCCCGCAGTGCCTGATGTGCCAAGGCTTAGAGGCAGGAAGACCCAAGTTCAGATCCAGCCTCAGACACTTAATAGCTGTGTGGTCCTGAGCAAGTCACTTAACCTCTATCAGCCTCAGTTTTCTCATCTGTAAAATGAGGGTAAGACCAGCACTTACTTGCCAGGATCAAATGAGATAGTGATTGTAAATAAGTGCTTAGCACAGTGCCTGGCACGCAGTTAAAGGCTTAATAAAGTTGCTTTCCTTCCTACATCAGGATGGGATCCGTCACAATTGTTATGAAGAAATGTAGCCTGAATGGCGGCCCAGATGCCAAGAGAGGGGATAGAGGGGCTGCCTGAATCAAGCAAAAGGAGTCAGAAATGCAGAGCAAGACAGAAATGGACAGGAGATTGTAGGAAAGCCAAGCTGGGAGGGGAAGAGGAATAAGAAGAGCCCACTTCCTCAACTCCTTTTCACTTTTGACCACACTTTTCTACACATACACACACACACAAACACACACCATACATGAATGCATGCACATACGCACACATGCATGCAGGCACATGCACACGTATACACATACACAGAGCAAATCTTAGAAGCAGGCAACTGGAAATGCGAAATGACTTTAAGGGACACCCAGAAGAGGTCTGCCCCCAAATATCTCCCACCCCACCCCACCCCAGGCTGCAACAGAGTTTGCAGCAGCAAGAAAATCAGTTGCTTTGAGTCCTGCAGGCTCCATTGTATTCCACAGTCTAGAACATAAAATGCTTTCAGCACCTCTGATACACACGGCACAATGCATTACAGCTCTCATATTGCAAGCACTCAAATGATTATTAAATAAAGGAAACACATCTGGGAATTCCAAGTTGGTCAACTAACATTGTCCCAACCAGGGTTGGACAGTCAATCAATGAACATTTATTAAGCACCTATTATGTCAGGCTATGGGCTGGGCACTGGGGAAAGAAAAAGAAAGAAAGAAAAAAAAAGAAAGAAAGAGAAAAGGAAAAGGAAGGAAGGAAGGAAGAAAAAGAAAAGAAAGAAAAAAAGAAAGAGAAAGAAGAGGAAGGAAGGAAGGAAGAAAGAGAAAGGAAGGAAGGGAGGGAGGAAAAAGAAAGAGAGCAAGCATCCCTGGTCCTCAGGAGCTTCATTCCATCGGGAGGCAATACGTACACCTACCTGTAAGTATCTGCCTCTTAGACTGGAGCAGAATAAATGTACAATAAACACAAGGGCTGCAGTTGGGGCTGGCACAGCATCCCGTTTGTAGGCTACTAAGGCAAGCTCCCCTTGGGCACAGGGTCCTTTTGGTGCTGGGCTCCATACTTACAGTCTGTCTGTGGCTCCCAATGCCCACCCTGGCATAGCTGCTAAGACCTTGGAGGACGATGCTGAGACTCTGAGGAGAAGACAAGAGGCCCCCACCCTCCAGACCCTTCCGAGCTCAGAAGGCCGTCCTCCAGCTGGGAGGAGTGAGGTGGGAAGGAGACCTGGCCAAGGCGAAGCCTCTCCATTCCCCGGAGGTGGGGCCTCCTCAGAGGTGTGCCGCAAAGCCAATCTCTCTAATGGCCCCAGTTCTCTAGCGAGATAATTTATAGACCACCCTTGGGGCACGGCCAAGTTTCCTCAGCCCATCCAAACAGGATTCCTGTACCCTGTCACTGCATTCAAAGGACTTTTCCGCGCTAAGTCTGAGACCTATGAGATCAAATGGTTGGGTGTCTTACCAATTATTTTAAGTGTGGAGGATGAGTAAATCAGTCACCCAATCCTCACATTTTGAGGCAGGAAGACTGGGTTCAAATCCTGCCTTGGTCACTTAATAGCTGTGTGACCTTGCTTAAGTCACTTCATTTCTCTCTACCTTAATTTCCTCACCTGTAAAATGGGAATGATAACAGTACCTACCCCACAAGGTTATTGTGAGGGTCAAATGAGATAATATCTGTAAAGCACTTTACAAACCTTAGTGGGCTTTATAAATACTTGCTGTTTTTGATTACCTGCAGTACTCACCTCCCAGGGTTCTTGGGAAGAACAAATGAAACATGGTACAATGGGAGTCAATCGATCGATCAATCAATCAGTCAATATTGATTAAGAGCCTACTATGTGCCAGGCACTGTGGAAGAGGGAGAAGAAGGAGTTCATGTCAAATGGCCTGCCAGAAGCCCTGGGTTCAGATCCCAGCTCTTCTTCTTATGACTACTGGGCAAGTCACCTGACCTCTTAGGTCTCAGTTTCCTCATCAGTGAAATGGGGGGAGTCGGACTAGATGGCCTCTTCATTCCCAGCAGCAGCATCGTTACTGTGCCTCAGCTGCTGAATCAGCCCGGATCTTCCCTCAGCCCCTGGGACCTCCTCCCCCTATCTACACCCCTGAAGCCCCCTCTCCCATCCAGTCCTTGGAACATCGTTCCTCTGGCAGCCGCCATTTTGGAAGGGGTCTAGGCCTGCCAATTTTCATTTCTCTCTTGGCTCTGCTTCTGACTTTTTGAACTCTGACACCATGCCCCCATGCAGGGACACCCTCTCCTTCGGCAGTGCCTGACAGGTTATCTATCAAGGTTAGTCATTATTAGTATTAGTATTAATATTGTTTTTGCATGTTTTCTTCCCACGTTGAACGTAAACTCCTCAAGGGCAGGAACTGTCCTTTTGCTTGTACTTGTATTCCCGGGGCTAAGCACAGTACAGGGTAAACAGCAAAGGTTTAATAAATACTTCTTGCCTTGTCTATAAGGTCCCTCCTAACTGTGAGGTTCTGATCCCATGGTGACATGGA